ATTTCATGCAATTGGTCCCATTTTTGATAAAGTCGGAAGAATGATTGAGGAAGAATAATCTGAAGTCAATATATTTCGTGGTTACTCATCAGCTGCTTACAACCATTCATTGATTGGAAGTTAACACTGAGAAATGGTGTGATGTGAATGTGGATGAGCACAGCTGAGGATTCCCACAATATTACGAAACGGCCGTCCAGTGCCCGCAGGTTTTCAATGCTGGTCAAGCATCAATCAATTCATGATCTCAATGGAAAAACCCAATAATGTCCACAATCATACACTGATAAACACCAATAAAATAAGGATACATAAAACAGGTTTGAGATTTTAATCGCCGTTTCTTCTACAAACGGAAGACAGGCTGCGTCTTTTTGTCAGTTATTAATGCTGAAGATTTGTAGGATGTCAATTGTATACTCGATGTCAAGTAGATGCCGAGCTATTACATATATATATATATATATTATTGAAAACATTTATCATTCTAATTCTTTACCTGATCAATCTCAATCGTCTCACATCATATCATTACTCAACATTACCTTTCAATACGTGAATGGTTGTAAGCAGCTGATGAGAAACCACAAAATATATCGAATTCATATTATTCTATATCAATTGCTGTTCCGACCTAACCAAATATCACTTCAATTCAATTTCATTTATTTTATTTTCTCTCATCCTAGATATGTAATGACCGACTACTCAGTCTAACTTATATTGATAAGGATAAATATGAAAAACCGATAGGAGGTATTTTTGTTGGATCCTCTCCAGAATTCGATATAGCTGTATACACTGTTGCTTTTGCATTATATCCTAAATCACTAACTGATGTAGATATCGCCGGATGCAAGATACGTATAACCTGTTATGAATTATCTCCCTCTGAAATGAGTACATGTTATATGGGATGAATGAACAATGTGAAGGAAAAGAAAAACTCATCATTTTTTATCATTAAACATTAAGTGAATAACAGAATATTGTACAAGCCTCCTATTTGCATAAAACATTGTAAAACAATTGTGAGATCTTTTCTTTCGAGTTTGTTTATCATAGAGATATTTCTGTATATTTAATAGGACTTTTGATCTAACTACGATTATTCGAAACGAATTGTAGTTTCGAATAAACTAACAAGTTTTCCAGCTACAGAAGTGTGTAAAGATTCTTGACAAAATTTGCAATATGAAGATTAGTCGATTCTTTGTAAATTCACACTGTTCACATCAAAACAAAAACTGTTATCAAGCCCCGATAATTGTACTGTGTAATTAATGAATTTCCAGATAAGCCATTCAGCTTCACTAACCTATATAGCTGGAAAGGAAACCATTTTCTTCGATCACTGATTGTAGTTTATGGTGTATAGAGGTAAAAGCATTTATGACAAAGAAAGTATCATATGGGTTCATTTTTAGCAACCGAATAATTCAAAGTGTTTTACGTTTTTAGAACTAGTCATTTCAATGTATGTCAAGATATGTTATAAATCATCGACATCGCTCTTTCAATATGCACTTATAAGCATTCAGGGTGTTTGGATGATGAAAATGCTTTATTCATCTAACTAATTATATTACATAGACAGTCAGACAGACTTTATCTATTAGCCGTGACTTGGAATATGATGTGCAGTAGGAATCGAATAAGTATGTATCCTTTAAAGTGTGAGGAATAACAAGAAAGAATTCTTCTCTCAGGTTATTCTTTTCCATTGTTTAAAGTTGATGCAATTATAAGGTATGAGAAACGCGAGACAAAGTTGAAAATTAGTAATCTTTAAAACAGTTATTTATCATACTGTATTTGAAAAACATTAACATTTCTTGGTTAGAAGTTGGATTTTAATTAGCATAAGAAAACGGAATGTCTTTCGGTTCGCTAACAAATATGAATGCGAATTCCTAATACCAAAAACCATGTATGTTAACATTTATTTGGTTTGATCAGATCACTCACATTGCAACAGGTGGAGGCTTTTACATACCTGAACAGCAGTATGTTTAACAAACAAGCGGGATCTGATGCAGATTTAATAGCACGGATTAGTAAGTCAAGGACAGGATTCTGACGATTGAAGAACATATGGAACTCAGAACAACTGTCAGCCAACATTAGTAAGAATGCTGAGTAAACCGTTAAAACAGTTCCATTATACAGAGCTGAAAGTTGGGGAACTACTACAACCATCAAAGTAGTATAGGTATTTGTGAATAGTTGTCCATGCAAAATACCTCAGATCGGTTAAAAGACATCATCAGCAACTGACTGATATGTCAGAGCACTAAACAGCTTCCAGTCGAATAGCAAATTAGTAAAAGACTCTGGAGGTGGACAAAGCACATATTGCACCCGGAGTCGAAAGCAGACATCTAAAGAATGGACAGCATTTAGAAGGACTTGAAAATAGTTGATTGGAGAATCGTGGTCAGCACACTTTGCTTCATGAGGGATGACTGGATTAGGTTAGTAAGATCGTTCTCTTGCACTACTACAACATGACGAGATTGATCCTGATTAGTGACTTTTCATATGATCAGAAACATGCGGAAAATGTTTATTGTCTATATAAAATACCTCATATGTTGAATTAACAAACCACAGTTGCAATCACTGGTTTCACGTAAATAATTCTGTAGATAATAAAATATTAGATTTCTGATGCTCTATTGATAGCCAACGGTGTCACACACACAAATATTGATTTTATTTATGTGGCTTCTAGAACTTCGTCCTAAATGGTTGAAATTCGGTGAGAGTGGACCCATAATAAGATCACTAGCCCACTACCCTGTGAATAAAGTCTATGCGATGAAAATAAACTCACAGTTCGATGTATTCAATAAACCACTGATTCTCCCTCCCCTTTCCATTGCTGCAGCTTTCGCCGCACATCTAAACATTCCAAGTTTGTATTTATGAAAGAAAACTTATTCAAACACACATTTCACCGTGCTTTTTACTTATAGCTTTTCAACGTCATTACTCCTTATTCTCCATTGACCTTTTAAACCTAGTAGACTTACTTTAAATGCTCCATCTTTCCTGATTACATCCCAATTCTGTTTCGACGCTTCGTATTATCAGTTCACACAACCATCTTTTTACAATTATTCATTGTCGTCCATCTTATCTGTCACTCATGATGAACATTCAAGCTTGTAACAAAATTTATTCTCGAAATAGACAGGATATTTTGTGCTTATATTTGGATCACCTCTGTTTTACTCTTTTTTACGGTAAATCATTATTATTATTATTGACAAATATATTGTTAGTTAATACTTTGAAAAAAAGCACATACTTATGATTGTGCACCTTTGAGAATTATTCTGACGAGAAGATTACTCTTCTTTGTACTAATCATTTTGTTTGATTTTACAAACGGGTATTTCGGTTTAATGTCAGATCTCTTTGAAGGTAATATGTTGTTCCATTTTATGATTAAAATTCGTATGTAATCGTTTAGCTTGCATTGTGTTCAAACTATCTTTCAACAAGTGATTCAGTTCAACTTTGTTTAACTCAGAATTAAAATTATTTAACAGAATAATTGATTCTGTTAAAGGCGAACTACTGACATTATAGTAGGCGGAAATTCATCATCTTTCAAAAGTTTCATAATTATAAGCTGTTTACATGGAAATGAATGGATTCATCTTGCCAGATCAACGTGATGATACTTACCATTAACCCAGTAGTACTAGAACCATATTAACTAATAGGTATAATTAGTTTTAATATACCATTGTAGTGTCGGTTATTATGTTAAGCTCATATACCTTATTCTAGCCCATTCTGTTCATCCTACTTGAGTCACATTCTGACCTTGTTAATTATTCGCTCATCAATCTTGACCGTTTTTATATGAGCGCGAAGGTGTGTGTACACTTCTTATCCCATTACTCATCACATGTCTGTAACTTATTCTTATGTGATTATAAATATTGAGCCATTCGACGAACATCGTACAATCTAATGACAACAAAATATAGGGCCCCACACCATACGCCTGATCACACGTCTGAAATACGAGCGAAACTGAAGTTCCTAAAACAACGATTTGTCTAAAAGGCGGTTCTTCATTGATGAATAGAAAGAAATTAGTCACAAACCTCAACTTGTGAGGTATCGATGGCGCTTAGCGCGTCTGTAAATCTGTGAGAAAATTGGCTTTCCGCGATGATAACATAAAGAATAATTATGACATACGATAGTGCAAGTGACAGCTGGTAGCTGTGTCTAATCTTGACAGCCGTTTACTAACGAGCAAAACGTTAACCAGAATAAAACAAATATGGAAACCATTGCACTTAAATAAAGATTCAATGACCACGAAATTGATGATAACTGATATAAGGGATTGAGAGAAAGTAATTATGATGATAAATGCAGTAAATGTTATAAATATATGTAAATATTTAATAGTATTAAACGATACACAACAACGGCACACGCGTAGAAATTGTTAGCAAAGCAACTAGTATGAAACAGTCGTCCAATGCTTCCAGATTTTCCTTGATGGTCAAGCTTTAATTAACTCATTATTTGACTATTAAATAATATTAAGTAGTATAACGCGAAACACAAAAAACGAGGATATGGACATTGAACTTAAACGGATTTAACATGTAGTATTTCCGAAATTTCATCCGTTTTTGTGTATAATTTTTAATGATCAGAACTAGATATTAATGTCCTTGTATCGAAACCTAAAACATGCCAATACAACAATTTGACCAAGTAATTATTTTTCTATAATCATATTCATTTTTATAAATATAGTTGATACTGAAGTATAGGATTTACTTAACATAGATATTGAACATAGTTTTACATTGACTTTCCCATTGACATACATATACACAATTAAATAATGATGGTATGTTATTATCCAATAGAGTCATTATTTTCATAATAAGTTAAATATTACCGGAAGTATCTTATTAAGTAATACATATAAATATGGAAGAAAATAATTAAACCGTTCGGAACTAATGAAAATTTGTAGCATCAGTAATACTGAAATGTTCAGTATTTTTGTATATTTCAATATTGTGCAATTTGTGTCATGTTAGTAAGTGATGTGTATTAGTTCTTTTCTTTATTTTTAAATGGGTACCATACAAATTGTTTGTTTTATTACTTTTAAAAATCAAATTCATTTGAATTGTATGTAAATTGACAAGGGTAAAACATTTAACAAAGAGTTCACTGTATAATGTTGGACTTGCTTAATTCGATTAGTTCATTGAAAACCATGATTATCTCAATAGATTGGATTGAAATTTCATTGTTGGTTTTGATTTATCATCATGAGGATTTATAAATTTGAATGTTATCTAGTTTTCAAATTGTATAAGACTAAATAATCCTTCTTATCAACAAAGATGGATAGTGGCTAACAGTGGAAACCAAGACGCGCATTTCGTCCCACTTGAGACTCATCAGGTGGATGTAATTGCATCCAAGAGTTGAAGTTCACATCTAGCTGACGAGTCAAAAATAGGACGAAACACACCTCCTGGATTCCACTGTTAGCCACTATTCATCTTTGCTTATAAAGCTTGTGACTTAAGGTAATATCGAACTAATCCCCGCAGGATGCACATATGCCAATAAGAGATTGATCAGTTTTAGTCCTAAACAACAATGGCAACATACAAACAAACAACACCAAGTGAATTCAATCCTTCTTATCTGTTATTATTATTATGTTACTTACTTACGCCTGTTACTCCTAATGGAGGATAGGCCACCGACCAACATTCTCCAACACACTCTGTCATGGGCCTTCTTTTCTAGATCCATCCAATTCTCGTTCATTTTCTCATGTCTGTCTCCATTTCCCGGCATAATGTGTACTTTGGTCTTCCTCTCCTCCTTTGGCCTTGAGGATTCCATGTGTGGGCTTGTCTTGTGACGCAGTTGGGTGCCTTCCTCAATGTGTGTCCTATCCACTTCCAGCGCTTCTTCCTGATTTCTTCCTCCACTGGGATCTGATTTGTTCTCTCCCATAGTAGGTTGTTGCTGACAATGTCTGGCCAACGGATCTGAAGTATTTTGGGAAGACAACTGTTAATAAACACCTGTATTTTCTTGATGATGGCTTTCGTATTTCTCCAGGTTTCAACTCCATGCAGTAGAACTGTCTTGACATTTGTCTTGAAAATCCTGATCTTGGTGTTGGTTGACAGTTGCTTTGAGTTCCAGATGTTCCTCAATTGTAAATATGCTGCTCTCGCTTTACCGATCCGCGCCTTCACATCTGCATCTGACCCACCATGTTCATCAATGATGCTGCCCAAATATTTAAAAGTTCTTACATCTTCCGAATCTTCTCCGTCAATTGTAACTGGATTGGTGCATGCTGTGTTGTATCGGAGAATCTTGCTTTTCCCTTGTGTATATTGAGACCTACTGCTGTTGAGGCTGCTGCTACACTGGTCGTCTTCTCCTGCATTTGTTGTTGCGTTTGGGATAGAAGGGCCAGATCATCTGCGAAGTCTATATTATTATGTTAAATAGAAAATAATATATGCGCCTTATTCAGTTGGATTATATAAATTTACATGGATGTTTCTGAGAAAAACAAACAAACAAAGGTTACACTAAATATATATTCAGTATTACTATACTCAATTATCAACGTTTTCTTAGAGCTTAGCACATCGAAATTTCGGTATATATCCGCTTTTATTTTTGTACGAATCAATTTTATTTAATAGCACTTAAGTATAAGATACACCAATTCATAATGGAAGTTTAAGGAGAGATGTATTTTATCGTTGTTTTGTTAAAAGTTTGCTTTATTGCCTCTTTGTCCCATTCTCTAGGTAGGGATGGGTAACAATAAATAAAAAGATATAAAGTAACTCTAAGAAATTTATAATGTAGATATTACAACAACGATTGGTACATGGTTAATACCGACTAAATGTAAAACAGAGTTTTGTATTTACTTTTTTTTCCCACACTATCCATACCAAGGAAGTAGATTGTTAGGATAGCCGGAAAAATATACCAATAATTATCGTGTTAAGTCTATAGTGGCCTTGGACCTTAAATGTACATTTCCTATTGGTCGATGTTTATTTCACTTGTTAAATATTGTGTAAATGTTGTTTTCTATTTTATGGTACGATGTGGTTTGTTTGTTTGGTATATAAATAGAGTATGTGTGAAATACAATGATTCATAACTCAGAGGCTGTGGCTTGTGTTCTTGACTCAACTGGCTAGGACAGACAGCGAAGCAGGGCCAATCAGGGCACTAGGTCGTCCACTACGTGTTTACGTGTCCACTGTCATCGAACCGATAGATAAATAAACGCTACGCATCTATCCTGTAGTCACACCCGTTACAACATAGATATTTACTCATTTATTGATAAAGTTATTCAGTAGCACGCTCACTATACTTCATCTTTACTGAAGAATTTTGATCTGTGAACAGGCATTAGTACACAAACCTGAGTATGTTTATTCCTACTCTGATCCCTTAAGATCCCATTTTGCATGGATTTCCTAAGTAATTCAATTTATTTTAAATATTCCATCATGGTTTGTTAAATGTGTAATCAATTGATGTGAATGTGGATACTACACTGTTATGTCATGACTGAATATAAACAAATCGTAACTTATCATAATTGATTCATTGTTCTGACATAGAATTGCTTTTTTCCATTTTCTGTTACTTGTTGATGGTATTTCATTATGCGCAGTAATACATAGATAACTCACATTGTGAATAATAAACTTTATACTTCCAATAAATGCTATCATATCCTGATCAAATTTACGATATACAAATAATCTATATTATGATTTTCTAAAGCTGACAGAACTGTCGAAATGTCTGTAAATCATTTGTTACCTATTATGTTATGTTCATATTTCCATTTACATACTGATGTCACTATTTTCAAACAAACATTTCACCCGTACTTACGTTTTAGAGAAATATTGGTATTTCCAAGAAATGAATTCCTTGCTACACGATAATATTATAGTAAATAATGAATATTATAGATGAGAGAGTTATTAAATGGTTACCAGTATAGTGTTTAATCACTATACTAAGGTCTATCAATGAAAGAATTCTATTAGATGACTAAATTTCACCATATAAAGTGCATTGAACAAATGTGTTTAATCTTTATCGATAGAAGTACCTAACGTTTATGACTGAATTCTTATGAAGTATAAGTGTAACTGTCTTATAAAGTAACAACCTTTTCTAGTTTGTAAATTATCCCGTGTTCTAATAACACTTTTTTTTATTTTCTTGTAGTAAAATAAATATTGACAAATGTGAGACACTGAATGACACCAATTGGGTTTCTGAAGGACTATAAACTATTTCAAACTTATAAATAATATAAGATAAATACAATTTTAAATTAAATTATAATTTCAGAAGAGGTTTTGTGGATATTATAGTAATTTTAATAGTGAGGATCATAAGTCAATTGAAGCTGGACCATCATGGAAAACGTGGAAACACTGGACGACCGTTTCATCCTACTAAAGAGTCTCACAATAGGATGAGACGGCTGTCCAGTGCTTCCAGCTTTTCCATGGTGGTCTAGCTTCAATCGACTCATGATTTCAACCTGTATTATTATTCTCATTTATTTTCAACTTATTTACTTTATCTCTATTTCATGAACGTTTCATTTATTCAACTTTAGTTATTCTGTCAAAGAGGATAAAGAATTGAGTAAATTTTTCACTGATTTGTACAACGCGGATGTAAATTCAGTTGAAAATGGTAAAGATTATCGATTGAATTTACAAGGTAAGTTTGTTTAAATATCATAATGCTTACCTTTAATCACTTTGCTAATAAGAAGTAGTACAGGACAAAATACTAATTCATATCTGCAAACTTTCATTCAATGTTCTGTTGATGAGTAAATGATCCTTTATTTAGGTGGAGTTTTGTTCTCTGAGCTGGATGGTTTGGTCGTGGAGCTTTCATCGTTCTTCTGAACGACATCATCAGCACAAACTTCAGATAGAAGTTTATATTTATATATTTATATGATCACATTATGTTTTGAAAAATCATTCAAATAAGACTATGGAAATTATTTGGGTGAAATTACTTTCTACGGCATTAGTTTTATTTATTACGTGCTTCAGATATCTCCCAGTATATTGCATATAATCTGATTTGTACTTGAATAACAGATAGCATATATGGGATGGTTTTCACTCTCAGAGTGTTGAGAACCATAAATCAGTTATATTTTTAAGTGTATCAGTTGAAAAACAAAAAACGGCTCGAGTATTGAGAATTAGAAATCATAAGATAGCTATTTTACTTATAATTTATATATAAATGGTTGATCAAAAAACATTCAGATCTATGGAGACAAGATATTATTTCCTTATTGGTTGGAATGTAATGAACGATGGCTTATAACATATGACAGTCTGATGTATCATGGCTCTCATACGATGTATTCGGTAGGTAATTGCCACATTCTGACTTATTTATTTTCTCACAAAGTCAACCAATATGAAATGGATAGCTGGTATTACATTTAATAATCCGATGTAAATGGAAGAAATAAGTACCAATCATAGTTGATGTACTACACTTATAATCACCTATAATAAATGATATACTTTCTAGTAGAACAACATAATACATGCTACTGATTATATTGATCATTTTATAATAATAAATTGAAAACCTCAGACTCTCGTGGGGTGCGGGATCGTGGATGCACACTGCTGAGGAGTCCCATACTAGGATGAAACGGTCGTCCAGTGCTTCCAGGTTTTCCATTGTGTTCTAGCATCAATTGAATCATGAATTCAACCATTAATATATCAAATTTTTAATTTTTTTGACAAAACTATGAATAGTAAATAATCTCTAGTTTAACTGAGTGAATAGCTCAGATTTATACATCTAGTAATGTTTGTACAATGTAAGAAATATCAAGTTATTTCCGCTTTTTTTTCTCTTTTTATAGGAAAACTAGCTAGAGGAATGGATTCGGTAGACTTGGCATCTAAACCATTATTTGAGTTTGTTAATGAAGAGATATTGGGGAAGAGAACTACTTTTGCAAGTATGTAACAAAGAATGGTATTTGAAAGGTGTAGATTTTTTTTCATTGACAACTTAATGATAATTTACACAAATATTCTTCATATCAGATTTACATAAAAAGTAGTGAATGTCAAACATAACCATATATTTCATTGTATAAGGTAACGCTTATTTAAATCATCAGGTAATCGAGCCAGAAGCAAGACCTGATGATTGGATGATTATCATTTCTAAGTGTTAAGTATGAAAATTGGATAGTCTGGGAGAATCGACTTATAAGGAGATCATGGGCTTTTGTTAGTGAAAAGGAAATTCAACTGAGATTTTATGCAGTAAATTTGTAATCATAATATAAGTTCGACAGTTTAGACAAGAAGTTAATCCATGTCGGGTAGAGACAGGTATCTACCTCAGCACAACGGAAGATGGTCGCGCAATTTCGTGGATTGATTGATGTTGGACACTATCACCATTGGATGCTGGCTCAGTGGTCCAGTAGGTTAAGTGTTTGTGTGCAAGACCGAAGGCCCTAAGTTCGAATCCCGCGAGTGGGATCGTGGATGCGCACTGCTGAGGAGTCCCACAATAGGACGAAACGGCCGTCCAGTACTTCCAGGTTTCCAAAGGTGGTCCAACATCAATCGGTTCAAGATCTCAATCAAAAAGCTTTGCGCTAAAAATTTCTTCTTTAAAATGAAGAACAGGCCATTAATTTACTCATAGATCCATTTACTGTTGACTGATATTCGTGAGATAACACTTCTGTTACCAAGTTTATGAAATATTCAGTGAGGACTAATAAACTTATTTCGGTCTGAGGTAAATGTATCATGAATATTAGGTTATGAAACTAACTGACTGAGGGAAAGTACTTGTTTGAATTCATCAGTTTGAAACTGATAACTTTGTCTAGGAAGTTAATAGAATGAGCTGTAGACATTATGATTAAACCAGTAAAGTGAATAATACAACTTTCTGATCAAATAATTTCAAATACATAATCAGTTTCATTTCTTACACATAAACTTGTATGATCAATATTTGGCTGACTACTATATGAGCTTCGAAAAACATATCATAACGTTTACAAGAACTATAGACACTTCCAAGAACTATAAATAATGAAATTTTACAACAAAAACAGAATATTAAAAGTTTTAATTTTCAATAGTTGTATACCATCACTAACAATAACAGACAAAAGTCAGTCGATATGAAGAACAGCTAAACAAACATTTATTTTGTATGATTTAAATTTACTGAACTTTTGTTGGAATGTTTGAATAATAACTGATAATCTGCTGAAATTAAGGTATCCAAGACCGAAAAAACTAGAAACGTTTACGATCATAATCTTTAGATCTTGAGATTTTTGTAATTCTCTATTATTTCTCAATCAGTCATACGAGTATTTAAACAGGTTAGTGATGTAAAATGACTAAAAAATTAAACTTGAAATTATGTATATACTATAGAATTCATTGCATTATTGGATAACTACAATCCTCAAGTTGGTGTCACTGAAGTCGTCACAGACCAACAACAGAAGGAGGAAGATGACTTTATCGATGAATTGCTAAAAACGAAAGTCATGAAAATGGCTTATAATTTCCTTATCAAAAAACAAAAGTTGTCAGGAGATATTACAAACTTTGGAAAATTCTTAAAGGATTTGTGGTTCAAGCGATATAAACGTAGAAGGTGAGTTTAGTATGATTTGACTACGATTGTTATATTGACCAATAGAATACCGATAGATTGATCATATGATGTGATATTTTGTAGCTTAGTAAAAAGTGGTCTCAAAAATGAGCCTTCGGAGTTGTTATACTAAGTATAATCCTCTCATTTCCCAAAAAATAAAAGAGAAAATATTATGTTAGTAGAATTTTATGTTTAAGATGAGTAAAGCATTTGTATTCAATCTGTTCCCGAAATGCAACTATGAGTAGTTACTAAATTGAATATTTCACTGAAAGCTTTTAATGAAATTGTTAATTATCAGATACATTGTTATCAGTAACTATTTCATGCTTCAAAACCATTGGTGATTGATTTATCATTTTTATGCTGTTTTTTTCGATAAAATCTCCATAAAACCCCTTCTGATGATATTAGTTTTATAGATTTTCCATATTCTACAGAGTTGTTCATTTCATGATCTAATACTCTTTAGCTAGTTTTTATGTAGTAGGAGAAATTAACTTAACGCACCATTTAAAGCTGATCATAATAATGTATTCTCTTCGTTTTGATAAGGTATTCTGTAATCTAAAACAACAGTCTGTCCAAACGTTTTCAGCCAGAAAGCTCCTAAAAAATTGGATAACTTAGTTCGAAGTCAGTTAGCGGTGTATATACATGTGGATTCATTGAGAAATAGTTATGAATTTTTCTATTTCACTTAAAGCCGAAACATATCCTGTACAATATAATCTAAACATTTTAATTTTGAATTAAACTGTGGTGTGTTCTACTGGTATCGACACATATAAGTAGTATTTATCATCAGTCAGATGTGAAATGCTTGGTGGCAGAAGGTTAAGAAAAGCGAAGAGAAAAGCGCGAGAAAATAGAATAAATGCTGTGGAAACAAAGAAACAATCAAGTCTGAGACAATTAATTGATATTTTGCAAACAAAGTATTTACCATGTGGTTCTCAGATTCGATTAAGACATTTTGTAATTGTGTATAAAATAGATTTGGTTGTCCCCGCCTGTGTTCTCATTCACTACTATATTGATCTTGTGTTAAAATTAAGAAGAGGATACTGCATGATCCTTCACATAACTATTTAAGGTAGATTAATAATCATAAACATATTAATAAAATATAAGTACAACATATCAACTGTTAGATCCTTTAGAATATATCAAAAGTAAACCAATGTGAGGTAAAATTCTTCAGTATGTTCAAAGTACTTAACTATGAATGCAGTTATTCTCCTTTAACTCAAGTAATATCAACCTACGATAACAAGTTGAGATGAATAATTAATTATGGTGATTTATAGTTTCCCTTTTACATTCTATACAAAATATATAAAACATAAATCAATCAAATAATGAAGTCCAAAAGACTCTTCTGCATTTGAACATGTATTTGTTGGTGAACATAAAAATCTTGATGTGCTTGGATTACACAACTGGATTCAATTTTATTTAAAAGAAAAGAAAAATCAATTAAACTTTTTTGGATGGACTAGAAGAGTAAGAAATTTCTTTTTTTGTTTTTATGTTTGATAATAAAGTTAGTAATTATACTATGCTAATAATGATTTAATAAAGAATTGATATTATCCGAATGGTAAAGTATTATGTAACTATGATCGCATTTGCAGGATTATACAACTGGTATTTACTGTTAGATCAATAAGGCTTCTCTAATATATGTATGTATACATAATAGTCATCTACTTACGCATATCTCAACTTTTATGTCAGTCAGTCAGTCAGCAACAACGTAGAACTTCGTACGTAGGTACGTACATTAGTTCGAGTTGCCAAACCACATTAGCACAGAGATACAGTTGTCCATTCAAATCCCATAGTGGTAGAGGTAGTAAAAGTATAAGCAGTAATCGGAAAGATTAGAGTTTGAAGATGTTATTCAAGGAGTATAATCCAGTGAAATAAATTTGGAAAGAGGAAAACAAAAGGGACATAAATAATACAGAAGATTAAAATTTGGGAGAACACAAAGAGTGGATGCACCTGCGCCATTGCAAACGATTTTGAGTCATGTCATTCAAGGTCTCTAACCATCGGTTGCTATCATCTCGCGGATCCCAACCAGCTAGTCTACACCTATCAACATGACTCACTCAGTTCACTTGTCAGTGACTTCATGAACTTGTGCCATGTTTTGGTCTGGCCGCTTCCAGCTTTCTTCCAACCTACTCCTATACCACTGAACATAGCACGTCGAGGCAGTCAGTAGTTGGGCATACGTAACACGTGTTCCAGCCATTTCAACTGATGAAGTTTCACTACTTCATCAGTTGATTTGCCATCCTTACCTAGTACCTGTTTCCTAACAACTGCGCTACCTACTCGATGGTCTTAGGATATACGAGCAATATTTCGAAGACACCTATGATCAAATACTAGTAACCTACGGATATCCTCTGCTCTTACCGGCCATTCAGTTTTTATGTAGGATGTATTAATTGATAATCTTATATATAAATGGTACTTATAGCACCATACAATATCGAAGATTATCTATTATGAAGCATCAGAAAAGAATAAAATGAATTTTATAAGGTTTCACTGACATTCAATGGTGTTTATGGTTGACTAGTCGAGGATAATATTTTGGACCGTACAAAATACTTCTTTAACAGAAACTCTAAGAAAGCAGTTATCAATTCATAATAAACGTGGAATAATTATTATTTACTAAGCCGGTATTAACAAGGTCATAAAATGTCTTAGACAGTTAATTGCTGTGTTATTTAAGCTATAAAACAGTGAAAATTGAAGTTATTTGGTAAGTTAGAACAGTAATAATGACTTTTAAAAAGCGTTTGCATGTGTTTCAATATTTATCCACTACATTATGTCACCTGTACAATGCTTTACACATGTTTCCAGTTGCTATTTATTCTTTTCATTCACGCTTCTAATTCTCGACGCAGTATGTTTTTAGTCCTCCTCTTTTCTATTTTTTCCTTCACCATTCCAAATTTGTGCTTGCTTCGTGATGCAGTTTGTTGATTTCCGTAATGTATGTTTTATCCACTTCCAACGTCCTTTCCTAAGTTCCTCTTCCGTTGGAACCTGGTTTGTTCTCTCCCACAGTAGGCTGTTGGCGATGGTATCCGACCACCAAACATTTGTTTGGAAATACTTTTACCTCAGCTCCATACGGTTAAACTGTGTTGACATTCGTATTGAAGATTGTGACTTTGATATTGGTTGGCAGTTATTTTAAGTTCCATATGTTGTTCAACTGTAGAAATCTTGTTCTTGTTTTGCAAATCCTCGCTTTTACATCTGCATCGACTCCTCTTTGTTCATCGATGATGCTATCCAAATACGTGAGTTTCCATCTCTTCCAGAGTGATTGGGTTAGTGTACAAAACTCACCAACTCAAGTTATATTTGACTACTGGAAAAAATATTGCTCTAAATACAAAACATTCATGTAATTTAGATGTTTTTAATTGCGTAATTTTTAACGATATAGCTAATGTTTTGTATTAAATTTTTACTATAGTTTTGTAAAGATCAACTTATCACTGTAACATATGTCAATGAAAATAAATATAAAAAGCCAATTGGAAGTGTTTTTGTTGGATCATCTCCAGAATTCGATATTGCTGTTTATACGGTTGCTTTTGCACTACATCCTACATCTGTATTTGACGTAAATATCTCTGGATGTAAAGTACGTATAACATGTCATGAATTATCTCCCTCTGAAATGGGTACATGTTATATGGGGTAAACACTATATGTATCTGAATAAACATTTGTTTCCACTGAACTTAAAAACAATAGCAAACTTAAGTTTAACATGTCGTTTGATAGATTAATATTCCGAAAATATATAATTTTGTTGAAATTCCCTAACTTTTTATTGTATTACAAAATAAGTAAAAATCGAAAAACTTTCAGTGAGAGTAACACTTTTAAGATGGTTCAAAATATATCGAAGTAAGGGAGAGAATTTCGGATGAATTTTATTATTTTTATGCTCACGTAAATAAACTATCTAACTAAGTGTACAAAACTCTAACGAAAGATTAACATTTGTTCCAATTTTTCGTGGTTTCGTATGCGTTACCTTATCAGAACTGAATAGTATAAAAGTGAACAAAACATTCAGACACATTTACATTAAGATTAATCAAAACATACTAAAGTGACAAAATATCATTGACTGGCTATCTAATGATCAAACATCGAGTGATTTGAAGCAGTGAAATAACGATAGTGTAAATAACACGTATCGTATTTAACATGAAACAGTATTTACAAGTCTAGCTAGTCCATTTCCTAGAGTTTGGTATATGCAAAGTGTTATAACTTGTGATCCTGTGTGCCCTGTATTTTGGATAACGCAACGATACCGCGAATCAGAGAGCAGCGAATTATCGATCGAACCAGTGACGCATAAAACACGTGCGATCAACCAAGAGTCCTGATTTGTCTCGCTCCCTGTGTAGCCCAACCAGTTAAGTCCAGAACACCAATCTCAGTCTCTGCAATATGAATCATTTATTTCAAACATACTTGCTTTATATATCAACCAGACATACCACAACGTACCATAAAGTATGAAACACCATTTATACAATATTTAGCCAAAAGTGGCTGGGAATGAGGGAGATAGTAATTAACAGACAGGTCATAACTCAAGAATGGTAAATTGTATAATTATAGTTCATGGGTCAAAATAAAACTCATAATAAGAGGGACATGAATATGAATAGTTTAGTTACATAACAATTACACGATGAAAATATACTCATAGCATTGGTTCATAAATGGATCCAAAAAGTTACCATTCATTATTCTTATCGGGATATAACACAAAGAAGATTGCAATACCATTGTTCTTTTTTTTATTTAATGATATGGACAATCCAAATATAACTCCGCCTGCAGCCCCTCCGGGGGCTACTACCGGTCCCAAGCCCGGATAAAGGAGGAGGGTTGGGGATGAGGTTAGCGTCCTCATCCCGTAGAAAACTAAATCGTTCAAAAAACGCTAACTAGAAAAAATTATTCAAACCTCTTAAACTCTGCCCTGGGAGTCAGGTCTTCATTTAGAAGAACTATGACCCCTCATGATGAAAGCCGAACTCCTTCGAAAGTCACGAGGCCGATGCCTCTTCTGACAACCAGAGCAACCATTTATTTAGGTACATGGAATGTTCGTACAATGTGGGACACCGGGAGAGCCTTCCAGGAAGGATGTGAGAACAAAGAGAGGAGCTGATATAGCATCAGATAATCACTTGCTGGTCGCCAAGATGAAATTGAAACTCAAGAAGCACTGGACAATACGGCGGACAACACAAACGTTTAATACGACCTTTCTTCGGGATACTGACAAACTCAACAAATTCAAGATAGTCCTCAGCAATAAGTTCCAAGCCTTTCACGATCTACTTAGTGGAGAGGGAAATACTATGGAGAGCAACTGGAAGGGGATCAAAGAGGTAATCACTTCAACATGTCATGAGGTTCTGGGTGACAAGAAGCACCATCACAAGGAATGGATCACTGTTGATACACTGGATAAGATTCAAGAAAGAAGGAACAAGAAGGCAGCAATCAACACCAGTCGAACAAGAGAAGAGAAAGCCAAGGCACAAGCTGAATACACAGAAGTGAACAAGCAAGTGAAGAGGAGCATCAGAACCGACAAACGTAAATATGTGGAAGATTTAGAAATGACGATAGAAAAGGCTGCAAGAGAAGGAAACATGAGACAATTGTATGACACGACAAAGAAACTCTCTGAAAATCGCCGCAAACCAGAACGACCAGTGAAAAGCAAGGAAGGTAATGTAATCACCAACATTGAAGAGCAACAAAACAGGTAGGTAGAACACTTCAAATAACTCTTGAATCGACCAGCTCCACTGAACCCACCCAACATCGAAGTAGCACCCACAGACCTCCCAATCAATGTTGGCCCACCAACAATTGAAGAGATCAGAATGGCCATCAGACAAATCAAGAGTGGCAAAGCAGCAGGACCAGACAACATTCCAGCAGAGGCACTAAAAGCAGACGTAGCGGCAACTGCAAGGATACTCCAAATTCTCTTCAATAAGATTTGGGATGAAGAACAAGTACCAACAGACTGGAAAGAAGGACTTCTGATCAAAATACCGAAGAAAGGCGATCTCAGCAAATGTGATAACTACAGGCGCATCACTCTTCTCTCAATACCGGGAAAAGTCTTCAACAGGGTATTGTTAAACAGGATGAAGGACTGCGTAGACGCCCAACTTCATGACCAACAGGCAGAATTCCGTAAGGATAGATCGTGTACAGACCAAATCGCAACTCTACGGATCATTGTGGAACAATCAATTGAATGGAATTCATCACTCTACATCAACTTCATTGACTACGAAAAAGCATTTGATAGCGTGAACAGAACAACACTATGGGAACTTCTTTGACACTACGGCGTGCATCAGAAGATAGTCAATATCATACAGAGTTCATATGATGGATTACACTGCAAAATTGTGCATGGAGGACAGTTGACAAAGTCGTTCGAAGTGAAGACCGGTGTTAGGCAAGGTTGCTTACTCTCACCCTTTCTCTTTCTTCTGGCGATTGACTGGATCATGAAGACGTCAACATCCGAAGGGAAGCACAGGATACAGTGGATATCTAGTATGCAGCTGGACGATCTAGACTTCGCAGATGATCTGGCCCTTCTATCGCAATCGCAACAACAAATGCAGGAGAAGACGAGCAGTGTAGCAGCAGCCTCAACAGCGGTAAGTCACAACATACACGAAGAGTAAAGCAAGATTCTCTGATACAACACAACATGCAACAATCCAGTTACAATTGACGGAGAAGATTCGGAAGATGTAAGAACTTTTACATATTTGGGCAGCATCATTGATGAACATGGTGGGTCAGATGCAGATGTGAAGGTGCGGATCGGTAAAGCGAGAGCAGTATATTTACAATTGAGGAACATCTGGAACTCAAAGCAACTGTCAAACAACACCAAGGTCGGGATTTTCAATACAAATGTCAAGACAGTTCTACTGTATGGGGCGGAAACCTGGAGAACTACGAAGGTCATCATCCATAAGATACGAGTGTTTATGAACAGTTGTCTTCCCAAAATACTTCGTATCCGTTGGCTGGAGACTATTAGCAACAACCAACTGTAGGAAAGAACAAATCAGATCCCAGCGGAGGAAGAAATCAGGGAGAAGTGCTTGAAGTGGATAGGACACACATTGACGAAAGCACCCAACTGCGTCACAAGGTAAGCCCTTACATGCAATCTTCAAGGCCAAAGCAGGAGAAGAGGAATACCGAAGAACACATTACTCCGAGAAATGCAGATAGATATGAGAAGAATGAACAAGGATTTGATGTAACTGGAAAGGAAAGCCCATGACAGAGTGTGTTGTAGAATGCTGGTCGGCGATCCATGCTTCATTTGGAGTAACAGGCGTAAGTAAGTAAGTAAGTAAGTAAGTAAGTAAGTAAGTAAGTAAGTAAGTAAGTAAGTAAGTAAGTAAGTAAGTAAGTAAGTAAGTAAGTAAGTAAGTAAGTAAGTAAGTAAGTAAGTAAGTAAGTAAGTAAGTAAGTAAGTAAGTAAGTAAGTAAGTAAGTAAGTAAGTAAGTAAGTAAGTAAGTAAGTAAGTAAGTAAGTAAGTAAGTAAGTAAGTAAGTAAGTAAGTAAGTAAGTAAGTAAGTAAGTAAGTAAGTAAGTAAGTAAGTAAGTAAGTAAGTAAGTAAGTAAGTAAGTAAGTAAGTAAGTAAGTAAGTAAGTAAGTAAGTAAGTAAGTAAGTAAGTAAGTAAGTAAGTAAGTAAGTAAGTAAGTAAGTAAGTAAGTAAGTAAGTAAGTAAGTAAGTAAGTAAGTAAGTAAGTAAGTAAGTAAGTAAGTAAGTAAGTAAGTAAGTAAGTAAGTAAGTAAGTAAGTAAGTAAGTAAGTAAGTAAGTAAGTAAGTAAGTAAGTAAGTAAGTAAGTAAGTAAGTAAGTAAGTAAGTAAGTAAGTAAATAAGTAAGTTAGTTAGTTAGTTAGTTAGTTAGTTAGTTAGTAAGCAGTAATATTCAACGCTAATCTAACTTTTTAGGCCGAAAATGAAATATCCATTCCTAATACATTTAAATTAAATATAAAGTGAAGTCATTATACATAACGGTGTATACTAATCCGGAAATGAATCATTTACACTATGAAAATTGCATTGAATTCCCTAGAAAACTTTCATAGATTTTGATTTCAATAATATTTCATATGTGTCATTGTATTTTACTTACATTTTACAATAAGAATAAAGAATAAGAATAGAAAATTTACTATATAACTTAATTGTTTTAATGTACTCATTTGAAAAACAGACCAAATCAAATTGTAATGGGTAACATTTACAATTCTAATGAAACAATCTAAATTAAAATGCATATTTTACATACCATCTATATACTATAATCAATTTTTTTATTGCATTGATTAGAAATACTATGAATAAAAAAAGATTATCAACTAATATTAACACGAATATAAGTTTCATTTCCAGTTATTTTATGCATAGTAATTTCGGTAATAAAATGTCATAAACAGGTATATGCATTCACTTGATATTGTTTTATTTGAATCTTCCCATTGATGTTTTTGGACTGAAATTGATCAGTCTCTTATTGGCATATGTGTATACTGTGCGTATGCCTCGATATTGCCAGCTGAAGAGTCCCAAACAGGACGAAACGCGCGTCCTGCATTCCACTCCTACCCACTACCCATCTTTGCTTATACAACTTGTCAATTCACACAATATCGAGGCAGTACGCACACCATGCACATATGCCAACAACACACTGATCAATTGCAGTCCAAAAAC